GGGCATTGGAGATCATACAGTAAGCATGCTTCGAGCCTTGGCGTATGACTCGTCAGGTTCAAGTTATTTTAAAACAAATGTAACAGATGAATATCAGTTACTCCCACAGAGATCGAGGTTTCCGATTGAAAATGTGTCCCCCGATTGTCTTTATAAAGAGAAAATAGCCATATCTAAAAAAAGGTGGGACCATTTGCAAGATCTAAAAAAATTTCTTCCAGCAGATTGCCGCAATTTTTATGTTAATTTACCTTATAAAACCTAATTGGTTTTCAGTATAATAACATCTGCCTTGAAATATATATTTTAGTTTTAATTATTTATTTATTTTACTTCAAACATGAATTATTATATAAATTTGTCCTAATTTTAACTTACGACAAAAAGCCCTAACTTAAATTTATTTTCAAGAAAAATAATAACATAAAGCCCTATCTCAAATACATAACTTCAAAGAAATTAAAAATAATAACAAAATTATACCACAATTGAATTTGTTACCTGTTTTGAATAAAAATTGCAATAGAAATGTTTTTGCATCTTAAGTTTTTAAGGCTTCATTCAGTTTTTTCCTTCTCCTGAAAAGTAGCGAAAAGTGTAGACACGCCTCTTCTATATTAAGCCATCGACACATTTATATAAGGCACGTATGCATTCATATGCCATGCCATGGAGCATAAACAATGTGCTCCATATATATGAACATGCACACATACATATATATTAAGATAGTTCTTTAAATTTTATATATGCGATGTCTGAATTTGGTATCCCCGCAAAATTAATGCGTCTGTGTAAACTGACGTTGAGTAATATCAAAAGCTCCATCAGGATCGGGAAGGACCACTCCGATACCAAACGAGGTTTCAGACAAGGCGATTCCTTATCGTGCGACTTTTTCAACCTGCTCCTGGAGAAAATAGTTCGAGCTGCAGAACTAAATAGAGAAGGTACCATCTTCTATAAAAGTGTACAGGTGCTGGCGTATGCCGATAATATTGATATGTGCGTGTTTTCCACAACGAATATCACATTCGATGGAACGATGAGCTGTATGAGATATACGACGGCATTGACATAGTTCAGCAAATCAAGAGACAGCGGCTGCACTGACTAGGTCATGTCAGGACTTTCGTGTGAAAATTGGCGCACTTTGTGAAAGGAAGAAACGACTGACGCGCTGTTGTTAACTTGGCTATAATCACGTAAGTGTTGTCTACGCCAGTAAAGAAGAAGAAGTTAATGATCGGCCGGCCGATTGCCTTGTATGTTATCAACAACGTATCTTTGTCCTTGTCCCAAGTGTTGGCGACTAGCGACTTAAGGATCTTGTTTCGGCTCTATACTTTTGTTAAAATCGCGTCGTGTGCGGAGTGAGGAAGTATAGACTGTCGAAAGTGACACCTAAAATTTTAGCGCTGTTTATCGTTGGGGAAGGGAAAACGTTCTAGGAGATAGGCGTTCACTTTTGAACACATGTTCACTTTAAGGAATTCGTGCTGGTTTTCAGTTAGGCTCAGGTCAGGAGTAGCAAAGCCTCAAAAGTTTTCACTATCGGAGAAAAGAGAGTTATTAGGCGATAAGACTCCCTTAGGTTGGCAGGCTTCCCAAGTTTCAGCAGTGGGTCCACCCTTCCGATTTTGCACAGATCGGGTTTGTGAAGGGTGGTCAGTGACAAATTGAGGACCTTGTTGAGTAAGGAGTCGCTCTCTCTTATTTGGTAAGTTTGGCGTCAGCTTGAAAAATTTGTCACATATTTTTAATCCTACGAACGAGAATAAAGCGAGCAGTAGCAGCAGCGATTACATTGCGGAATTATTGTTCAGCATCAAATTCGAAGCATTCAAAGACGACCCAGTTTGCGTTAGTATAGGTCGTACCCATTGTGAAGAATGTCAAAGAAGTGCTAAAGATAGAGGTAAACGTTAAAGGCGCTTAGTACCAATCTTTTCCCACCACAAAGCGCATCATTGTCCGCTGATAACCTGTTGATTAACAAGTAACTAAATTAAAGTATATATATTTCGAGCTTCCAATCTTTATGTATCTATTTAGCTGTTTAGCGTAGCTATCGATATGCCTTCCCGGTTCATAATATGAACTATCTCTTCTATCTTGCTCGATAGTCCGTTTCAGTTCAATTGTAAAAGTCGGTATTGATCAGATTGGGAGTTATGCTGCCTATTTAGCTCCGTGGGATTGTACAGGTTTCTTGTTGCCCATTCGGATAGAGAGGGTATTGCGCAGTATTGGGCAACATAACGTGTAAACTCCCTATGTGTCTTAAGGTCTGAACAGGTCTTAAGATGGATCCAACTATTGTAAGTGTTGTATTTAACCAACATAAAGTTATAGTGGCCTTTTGGTGCAAACGTACCAGAAAGGTCCCTTTGTGTTCGGATTGGACTCAATGCCAGCTCGGATCAGGAGGATAAGGAACAAGTCTGCTGCTAGGTGTTGCTATAAAAGTAATGATAGATCAACTTATTACTTATGGTACCGATCCAAACAGGGTTAGATCCTTGAAATTTATGTAACCCGGCCGAGCGGGCGGCGCTACCATGCGACTTTTTTCTAATACTAACATTTTTAAATTAATGATATCATCCGAATGGAATTTTCGAATCGAATAATTCGAAAAGTTATACATACACTCGTGGCCACACAAACCTTACCACTATACTTTCCTTAAATTTTTTTCGGTCTTTTCGTTCGTTCGAGATTTTTTTCAATTTGGCTTTTTTTATGGTTTTAGTAAGCAGAAGTAAACTAAATTATATTATCTAATTATAATTATAGTTTTTATTATTTATTATGTTTAATGAGTAAGACACAAATTAGCTTTTCTGTGCTTATAAAACAGCATCCGATATTATTGTTTTAAAGTGATATACCGACTAAATTTCCTGTTTCAATTAAAAAAAAATTAAATAAATTATTAATTTCAATTAGCCAAATGGGATAAAATTGATATGTACTCGTATCTCCGTGCTAAACAACTGGTGAACTGATGCCTGAATGATTTATAAATAAAAAATATGTACTTGTATTGAAATAATTTCTTGCACATATAAATAGTTTTTAACGAAGCTATTATTAAGGGTATTCAGACTAGCTTTGTTAATTCGTCAGTCGTTACTCGGTAGTTCTTTAGGTGCGTTTTGTTTTTGTAAAATTAACAGATTACCGTTTTACTGAGTAGCGAAGTACCAGACTGGCGACCATGATAGTTTTTTCATTACTTGCCTCAAAAGTTAACTTGATTCATTGAAAAGAAACATTACATTTGGTGTCTACTACAAAATAGTTTTTGACAAATTTTTCAGTTCTTTTAATCATAAAAGACAAGAAAAAATCGATATTATTTTATTGTTCCTTCTAATTATTTGACCGGGATATGTAAATAACTTTTTAGATAATTTTTTTACATCTTGGATTATTTTAATGGCGTTTTGGTAAAGAACCCTAACTTTTTTGAAAATATAATATAGAGGAGAGAGTGTAGCGAACGGATTTCTTCAAATCCGTCAAGTTTTTCAATAAGAACACTCCGAAAGTTTTTTTGTTTTTTTTTTTTTTAATATAACAAAAACGGTTTGGGATATCAATAAAATTCTTTATTCCTGTGTCCGTATTAGGAAATTTGACTGTGTTTCGAACACGAAAAAACAAAGAATAAAAGAAGAACTCTAATATGCTACATAACGACAAATATGTATGCCTCAACGTATTTTGATTTGCTCGATAGTAAATAGATAGAATTTATAAGGCATTTTTACCACCAAGAATATGGTCAGCAAAAAGAACGGATATAAACCCTGATAAAGCTTTAAAAAATGGATCCCAGTTTAAGGGGTCAGTAGGGTAATCTTTTTTAAATTTTTGCATTTTCTGTTCTTTTCTACGTTTATGTCCATCTTTGTATGCTTTCTCAGTACCTTAAACTTTAAACGCGTTTTTCTCAACCCATTTTTTTAAACTGACGGACATGACTCCGGTCGAACTACCAAATGTTCACAAAACGCCTGGCTATGGTCCTTACTAGATTCATAATTTTTTATGACAAAATTTAATTTAAATGTTATGACAAAATTTATGTAAAAAAAATATGGGGAAAAATTAAAACGTTAATTACTTTTTTATTTATCAACATTTTTTCATGATTCTAGTAGGGACGATAACCATTCACGTACTTTTTAAGAATAAATTGGATTTTTATGTTTCAGAAGATCCAAACATGAGAAATCGTGTCCGCCAGTAAAAAAAACGCATCTCATTCAACCAGCCATTTCGCCGACAGATGTCATCAAAAAACTCCGAAAAAATTGTTTATACACTCCACGATATACCTTTGATTGAAACAATACCATCTCAACTTAACCAACCAATCATTAATGAGAGAGAGAAAAAAATTCGTTAAAATCAATAACAATTTTAATTCATCAAAATATTTGAAGAAAGTAACTGATTTTTTAACATGAACTTATAAATATTTTCTTTTTAACATCTATTTACTTTCTAATTGTATTAAATGTCTAAAAACCAAAACTTTGTAAACGCTCTTCATATTAAAAATAGAATAGCCTGAAGCCGTGCTCATATAATTTCTAGGCATTTTTTGAGATATTTGTTCACACAAACTTTCCCAAGAAGCTTTGTCGGAACCGCTGATATCAGCCCTACTATAAACTGAACGCTCAAAATTATGTTCTTGTATTCGAAACTTTTTTTTTTTATTAAAGAAGATATCGTCCATAGGTATTCTTTACTTATTTAATATAAAATTTTACATACGTCTGGAAAATTTTTCTCACCATTGATCCCTTAAAAGTTAGTCTTCCAGTCTTGTTTAGTTTATATTCTAACGATTGGAAGATTTATTAAGTATTTATAATTTTAAGGGCGTAATAAGATATTTTGTTGAATTAGTTCTTGAATAAGTAAATATAATTGTATATTCACATTGCATTCTTATATAGCAATTACCACAATTCACTTACCGTAAATTTGCTGACGTTTCCGTAGTTTTCTCCTTTTCAATAATTTCGGCTGCATTTAAGCTTTCGCCCATTGTTGTTTCTACATACTTATCGTCTAATACAATGTCTTTTGAATTTGTAATTTTTTGGTTATTTTCACTTTTCTCTTGTTGCTTCAAACGGCGCACACGCAAAGAACGTCTAGTTAAATTACAATTGGCCAATTCAGCTACTGCATTTGCTACTGCATTGGCAGTGGACATGCCGGTCAATCCCAAATAATTGCAAAACTCTTGTTGTTGATGACATGTACTTGTAGATATACGGTTTTTTGAAACTGGGGAAAGTGTAGAATAGGACTGATCAGCTTCATGTGGCGATGTAGATATTATTTCTGTTTGTAACTCATTATCTTCTGATTGGTGAAGCGGACACTCTGTGTTTTTATCCATATTACTAGGATTAAAGCTATGCGTGTTCTTTGACATTAATATCGAAACGTTTAAGGCAGCTGAGTTCGGCGTCGGTAAGTGGGTGGGGACGGGTAGCGGCATGTGTTTTTGTGGCAATGTAGGCGTTTTAAACAATTGACTCCTTCTTTCGTAGAGTTGTTGACTTTTATTTTGTATTGCAAAATCCAAACGCATTTGAATAAGACCTCGAGAATTTGTCTTATTCTTTTCATTGAATTTACCAATTTCCTTATTCAGGCGGCGTAACTTAAAAACTGATTCCTCATTTGCAGATGACCGAAATTGACGAGATACAAGCGACGGATATCCGTCTATTGCCATTTGGGAATGGCGACATGTGGCATCTCTTGATTCTAAAATATCACACGGAGACTCTCCATTCAGAACCTTATTACCATGCTCCGAACTTCTAGGGTGTAGCTTTTGTTGATTGCTGTTGAATTTTTGTTTGGAAGTAAGACATAAAAGCAAATCATTTTCAGAAGAGGATGTAAATGTAGGGGTAGTATTTCTTCCTCTTAACATGTGTTGTTGTGGACGCTTTTTGCACTCAAATTCGAGAGCTGCTCGTATACGACGTTGTGCCGAAAACGTCCCAGTAGTAGAAGGTTTAGTTTTCTCATCTTTTGCTATTAAAGGAGTCGTTGTTGTAATCCTAGGCAGGATATCATTTCGAAATACATTAAAATCATACTGTGTGCTGTTGAAAGCGCCATTCCTATTTTTCTTGCCTTGTATAACTCTTTTTTGTAATTCCTCATGTTCTCTGAAAAGATCATCAAAACTATCCACATCTTCGACCTCACTGAAATCAATATCACATTTCCAAGCGTTAATTTTTTCGTCCAAAGACATTTGTGGTTTTTGCGTTGTTAATAATGCCAGGTTACGCTCAAAAACGTCTCCTGACAAAGTACTTTTTTGCAGAGCAGTCCGTTTTCGTGGATTCGAAGGAGAACTAACTGGAAAATCGCTGGTGGTTTCAGTAGAACACTTGTTTTTGTTGCTGTTGCTATTCACAGTTTGCTGATTTAAACGTAAACGCAATTGAAGGTTGGAATTAATTTTCTGTCTCTTATATGCCTCCGAACTAGTTGTGGACTTTGAGCAGATTTCAACAATTTCATTCACAGGGTGATCATCTAAAAAAAAATACATATACAAATGTTGATAAATTATACGTTAAAATATATTGTATTGTAGTGTTTGCCATATTTATACATTTATGAATAATGTACCAAAACGTAACAACTGAGGGGATGCATATGACGCCACCCTTTTTATTAATTAGAAAAATTATATTTTTTCTAGCTCTTTGTTAAACGGCTTTCCTAAAGACTTGTCAAAGCTTCTTGCTGCACTCGGGTCTTAAAAAATATTGATGTATAACATTACAAAGATAGCAACAATATCAAGATTTAGTTCGGGTTAATGGTCGATGATTTATCTATTATAAAGTTTGTTTTCTTTTAATTTTGTTGTTTAAAACATTATTAATAAGAATATATTATAATAGCAGTTATGTAAGGTATACCAAGGACAAAGAACTCACAAAAGTAAATAATAGAAAAAAATAAAGGCAACTGTAGTAACTACGATGATAAAAACGTGGTGGCAACCAAAACAACTATTATTTGACTACAAAAGAAAATTTTCAATTCTCAATTCCAATTATAATCCTACTTAAAACGCATATCAGCGGCTTGACAAAAGCCATGGGGCCCCATCAACTACAGTTTACCTAAAGGATATTCGCCGCCGAATCTACGAAAAATGTTATGATACGAAAACCAATATCTGCACCACAATCAAGCCCGTTTGTTAAATCGAAAGGCTTGGATATAGAAATTCTCTCCCTCCAAGTACAAAAATGTGAATCAGCATTCTGATTTGCTGATCTATGTTTTAGTGGTCCAATCTAAATATTTTTTTCGACGATTGTAGCGTTGGCTTGGAATCTATACCAAATTTTGTGAAGATCTCTAGTCATATAAATAAATTCTCCATACGAGAAAATGATTTTGATTGGTTGTTGTTGTATACGGGGGTTGTCATTTATATTTCGGAATTCGAGAACAACAACAAATGTGAATCATCGAATATCGCTTTATTTTTTTGTTTAATATTCTCCATTAAGATCTATATACTTTAGCATGCATTTGAACCAATTGTCGAAACACTTTTGCGTCTCTAATTGAGATGTTTCCAAAGCATGCGTTCTGAGCACATCAACCACCGCTTCAGGTGTCGAAAGACCTCTCAGTTTATTTTTTCTGTACGGGAATAAAAACAAGTCATTCGATACCAATTCAGGACTGCACACAGCTGTTTCAGGCGATGACTTAAACTACGCATTGTCGTGGTGGAAAGTGACCCGTCTACGGCATTAGTTTTCTCCAATTTCTTAAAAGACAACTGGAAAACAAATGGTTGTATACCACTCAGGATTTACTGTTCTGAGTTGTTCAGGTGGTATGGTTGCGACATAAATCCAGTATTTACCAAAAAGGGAACTATTTGATTGGTACTGCTTCGTATGCATTCGCGTATATCCACGATTCATCACCTATTACGATGTTATTGCCGTGTTTCGAAGCACCGCTATCGTATAATTTTAACATTTCAATCGACCAATCAACACGAGCCTTTTTTGTGCGATTGACAAATTGTGGGGACTGAAATGTTTATGCAAGATTTAATGTCCTAGTTTTCTCTATCCTACAATAGGTCATAACGAACTTACAATATCAGTTTGGGCACAGCGCCAATACTTTCCGGAATAAAAACTGATTTTGGGTAATCTTCACGAAATTTGTCTTGAAGCGATCTACGACCTCAATTGAATTCACCATCCATCGATGAACACTGGTCTTTAAAGGAGTTTTAGCGAAAGAAATTAAATTAAAATCATCAAAACACTGTTGCTGAGTTAATCCACGTTCTGGCTAGTATAACATCAAAAATGACAAATTCTATGATAAACTTGTAAGTTGCCAGCATGCCTAAGCGCCTTAGCTCTTCACGTGGGTCATTGATATACCATACAATTTTACAAATTCTTTGAAACGGTATTGGGTATAGCCCGAATTTCCATATAGCTAGCATACGGCTAGTCAGAGAAACTTTTTTAACATTTTAATTGAACAGATCAATTGAAAGTTTCCCGGCCTGTCACATAGATGACGCTGCTAGAATTATATCCATATTATTTTTAACCTTTAAAAGTCACGTGTAAAAATTTGTCGGATCATTAGTTTTTGAATTATATCATTTTGAGTAAAATAAATTTTTTATTGTGAAAAAATGGAAAAAAAAGGAATTTTGCTTCTTGATACAATATTGATTCTTGAAGGGGAAGAGAAATTGAAGCAAAAACTGGGCTTGAAAAGGCAAATGCTGCTTCAATAAGACAATGCACCTTAGAAGTCAGTGCAAACGACAATTGGGCCTTTTCGACTATTTTCTGCTCTCAGATCTAAAATATAAAAAGATGTTCGCTGGGAAGACATTTTTCGTCAAACATTTTATACTCTTACAACTTGCAAGAACCAAAGACAGGTGCAAAACGTCAACCAAGGAACTTTACAATTCACCCGGAAGTTCGAAATTCTTTATATTGGGTATATGGGAGCTAAGAGAAATATTTGTCTGACTTGACACATTTGTGACATACTGACAAACCATTATCAAACATCTCACACATTGACCCATATTTTCGATTAAAAGTCAATTATAGATACTGGGGTCAAAAATCGATGCCTAGGGGCTTGAACAGTTTCTGTTGAATTTGAACATTTTTTAGACATATGGTGGCATACTTTAAATGCATTACTCGTGCAAAGTTTTATCTCGTTATTTTAACTACTTCCTGATTTGTTTACCGAAAAGTGGAAGAATCAAAAGGAATTTAGAATAGTGTTGTGTGTGAAGTAGTGGCGGTAGTCCGATTTCGCCCATTTTCACATTTAAAATAAGAATGTCAGAGGAATGTCACATACTTGGGAGAAATCGGTCTGGCGGATTTCACCTAAAAGTGGGCGGTGCCACGTCCTTTATTCAATTTTGACCCCAGCTACATAAAAGGCCTCTCATACCATTTCTAGGGTAAAATTTAAGGTATCTGGCGTATTCAATTTTTCATTTATCAATCATTTTTATCAGTAACGTTATATGCGTTGTGAGCGGGGTTATCATCCAATAGTCTAGAGTTTTATATCTTAATTTAGCTCTAAGTTATGGTACTTTCCCGGCAGTGGTCCACCGACGGATGGACAGACAGTCACCCAGATTTCATATATACACTTATGCCTAAAGAATATTTTATCTCATCCATAATTAATATCTTAAAATACTCTCGCATTCAGAATAGTATGTGCGACGATGTTATTGTCGCAATCTATAAATAAATCCAAAATCGTTGAGGGAATCAAGAAAGGCAACTTAAAGTCTAGATGTTTGAAACGTATAATACATAACAGAATTCCCGATTCGAACCGGCAATAAGTACAAATAATTGATAGAGCAAGGATGTGTGTAAATTAGAGGACACTATATCCTAACGCAACTATGACAGCTTACGTCCACATAAAATTACATTGTAAATATTTTTTTAAAAACTCACTGATATAAGTAATGTTAAATCGTCGCAATAATAGTCCTTGGCGAATTAAATTCGGGAAATTCCTGAAATATAGAAGAGTGCATTAACAACTTCAGAGTCCCAAGGAAAGAGTGTTTGGAAAAAAATATCTCAATTTTTACTGAAGCTATCGCTTTCATGGATAGACGGACATCCATCATTCATTTCAATTCAGATCAAGAAAATTTTGGTACATTGGATAATATTGAGTACACAGATACTCTGTGTCCGCATACCCGAGAGTCAGATTTACGTAACCAAAACGGTTATAAACGGGCGAAGCCAACTCGACAGCATTCCAATTAACTTGTTAAGACTGTACAAGAATAACTAACTGTGAGTTTGTGCATCAGTTTAATGCTAATACTGCAAGATGTTGCCACAGAGTCTAAAGCCCGTTTGTGCCCAAATAAAATCTTAGCTAAGCATTGTTGCAGACTGAGTAGTCATTTGAGTTTCACAGTCAATGCTTAATTTTTATACAATTTTATTCTGATATATGGCAACCAAAGATGCCTTCTATGAGTGCTTGGAGCGCACTTATGAGAGCTGCCCCCGCCACGATGTCAAAATCGTGCTTGGCGACTTTAACGCCAGGGTGGGCAAAGAAGGTATCTTTGGCACAACGGTTGGTACATTTAGCCTCCACGATGAAACATCCCCAAATGGGTTGAGGCTGATCGACTTCGCCGGGGCCCGAAATATGGTTATCTGCAGTACTAGATTCCAGCAAAAGCGATACATCAAGCTACCTGGCTGTCCCCGGATCGAAAAACCACCAACCAGATCGAACATGTTGTGATAGACGGAAGATACGTCTCCAGTGTTTTAGATGTGCGTGCGCTCCGAGATCACGCACGACAACAAACGGAAGGAAGATTCGACGTCGAGAAGCTGCACGATTCTCTACTCGGCTTGCACTCCTGGTCGCTCAGAGCAATCGTCAACAACTCGGTATAAGGGAACTGTGGGACGGCATTTCAAATTCCTTACATACAGCTGCAACCGAAACCATTGGTTTTCGGAAAGTGCAAAAGAATAGCTGGTACGACGAGGAGTGCCGTGTCRCAGCGGAAAGAAAACAGGCTGTATACCTCGCAACGTTACGACCGACCAAAGCACGTGCGGGATGGAATCGATAGCGAGAGTTGAAGAGGGAAGCGAGATGCATTTGCAGACAGAAAAAGAAATGCGTGAGTACGAAGAGACAGGGGTAATGCTCGAAGATTTTAAAAGAACAACAAAGCGGCGGGGGTCGATGGATTGCCGGCCGAGCTATTCAAACACGGCGGTGAAGAGCTGATAAGTATAAGCTTTTTTGTAAAGTATGGTCGGACGAAAGCATCCCCAACGATTGGAATTTAAGTGTGCTATGACTACTCCATAAAAAAATAGACCCACAATCTGCGCCAACTACCGAGGGATAAGCCTCCTCAACATCGCATATGAGGATCTATCAAGCGTGTTGTGTGAAAGATTAAAGCCTACCGCCAACAAACTGAT